CCCCCCCCCCCCCCCCCCCCCCCCCCCCCCCCCCCCCCCCCCCCCCCCCCCCCCCCCCCCCCCCCCCCCCCCCCAAAAATGAGTTGTTTTTGAAAATTCTAGTTCATCGAGAAAGTTGTTGTCGAAGAAAAAAATATCATATTCAAAAAAAATGAAGACGAGTTCAAATATAAAAATAATAAAAGTATTTTTGAATTATTTAAATTTCGAAACAAAAACTATTTGTAATTACTTTAAGTGCCCACATAAAAAGCTGTATAAACTACTGTGTTGTTGTTTTTAGATCTTAGTTCTCCTCCCCTCTTGCAAAAGTATGCAGTTAAAACGTGCTATAATATATAATTATTAAGAATAGCTTCTAGCACGACAGGTTCAATTTTCCGCTGCACACTCAGCAATGAATTACATTATGCACGCAGCATGATCTATTATACAATCGAGAAAAAAAGAAACGTTCTCTTTGACCGTTACCACTTTACATACAATACAAAATGCAGTTATAGTTGACTATGAAGATAACCAAAGTATTTTTTTAAGATATACGTTATTTAAAAATAAAATTTATATTTCAACAAAAACGTTTTCTAGCAGGAAAGATTCCGCAGAAAGGATTCGAATTTAGGGAGCGGTTAGCCCCCTCCCCTCCATATCGGCAAGCCTGTACTTAGCGCGTTCGGCATAACATCTAGCGTGTGTGTATAAAAGTGATGAACGATTTACTTTCTTGTAGCGATTTTCGATGCTATATTTGTTGGATACTGAAGATGTTATTAATTTGTTCAATATTAAATGATTAATGGCGTTGCTTTCGAATTCTATCTAAAAAAAATCACTATCATATAAAAATCTGATTTAATTACAAGATAAAGAATCACGAAAAAAGAAAGAAATAATTAATGTTCAATAAATCATGTCATCAATGTATCTAATTGACTTTGAATTGACTCAAGCTAGAAAGGTAAAAATCAATAAAATCCTTTTACCAATTAGAACCGCTTACCTTTTCGAAAAATGCATAAAGCTCATCTTTATTAAATTCAGTTTGTAAGTTTTCAATTTGCTAAAACAAATAAGAAGTGTTAACTACAATGTTTAGAATATTTTATGAATCATGAGATATATTTCTGAGTTGTAGCAAATAAACTAAAAATGTACAAATTAAATCATAAATTCAAAAGGCACTGCCAGTTATATAACTCTTCGCTATGTTCTTCAAAACAATCTTACTTGCGTTTGCTCATTTTTAAGTTGAAATTCGTAAATAGCAGTTGGCCGTTTAACTTTACTCTTACTTGCTTGTGTTATGCCAACGTCTAATGTCCAACGAATATCGGATAACTAGGGAAAACATTCTTTCAAAAAAAGACGAAAATATGAAGAAGATAATTTTCTTACTGAATGTGAAGCAATATGAGAAGATTTTAAACGTTCAACAATCTCTTTCGCACTTGCTGACCATTGCTCAACAAATATTTTAGCCTTAACAAGAAAAGAATTAATAAACAGTTTTTCCGTTGATTAGCATTATACTTTATTTTCATCAAAGTTTTGTTCATTGACTAAATCATTTTCAAGTATTTGTGGTTTTACTAAATGATAAGCCGATTGAAGAAACATATATTCAATTGTTTCAATCATTTGTTTGATATTATCTATTGGCAAATCAAAAGCTTTTTCTAATTTCATTAATTCATCTAATGTGAATATTGTTTCATTCTGAAATAACGAAAATAGTCAATGCGGCTATGTAACACACTAGGGTTTTTACTTGTCGGCCTGCTTTTTCAGCCACACGTTGGACAAGTTTTCTAAATTTTGTATTATCTGTTGCATTAATATGTTGAATTGAAGCTTTTACTCTAATACAGAATATTAAAAGAGACTAAATTCAACGAAAAACTATTCTTACTTTGAAGAACCATCTGCAAATATTGAACTAGACATTTTTTTAGTAAATAAAAGAAAAAAAACTAGATAGATAGATGCATCATATGTTTACTTATTGTGATTGTGAGTCATTTTTAACCAATTCGAAGGAGGCTTTTCACCGGGCACTGGAATGGAGGGACATCTATCGGCATGCACTGTAAAAAAAATGCCATGTGTCTAACGAGACATGCCATCCGTCTTAAGTCTTATTCAGACGAGAAATACGTCTTGTTTTTAGACATGTACTGACTACAGACAGGAAAGCGTCTTAAGTTCCTCTTTCTCGTAAAACATTGTTACAGCTATGGACCAATAGATCAATTTTTTTACTTTCTTTCGTAGCTATGAGAATTTACTTTCGGATGTGATACAAAGGATTTTATTCGATTTCTTGAAAATATTTAGGATTTCACTCTTTCCAGAACTAGTTTTTCCGATGACTTTTCTGCCGTGAACTGCTTCACATTTTAACTCGAATTGAGGATATTCGTGGTTTTGAAGAGATCCGTATCTTTTGATTCGATATCTGAAGTGAAGGGGCTTTAAAAATATGCAAACCATTTTACCGAAATTTATTTTTTTATTTATTTCTAATATATTTTCAAGTTTTTTATTTGTTTTCTAGATGATCGAAAAATTATCAAAAATAACCGAGTATAGCTATATTTTAATATTGTATATTTAAAAAAATATTTAAGACTTTTATTTTTTTTTTCGTTTTAGACTTCTGTTGCATGAGTTTTCCCAGACGCTTCTATCAATCTATGGTTCACTAATTCAAGAATTCATGTTTTTATATGAGCCTTAGATATTAGAAAAAATATTCTCAATGAAATAATTTTTTTACCCCTTACTTGAGTTAAAATTATATTTAAAAATTACAGGAATTATTATAAAAGTTTTTTATATATATTTTTTGATGTTTAATAAAATTCCTCAAAAATCAGATTTACTCAAGTAAAATATTTTCGAAGATAATATTTTATTCCACAAGAATATCACCTTCGAGGAATTTCATTAAGCATCAAAAAATATATATAAAAAAATTTTTAAATATAATTTTAACTCAAGTAAAGGATAAAAAAGTTATTTCATTGAAAATATTTTTTCTAATATCTAATGCTCATATAAAAACATGAATTCTTGAATTAGTGAACCACAGATTGATAGAAGCGTCTAAAAAAGGCATATGCAAAACGCTTGCTTAGATTGGTGAAAATGATCCAATCGGAAAACTTTAAGACACGTCAGTGTCTAAAATCGGTTATCCGTTGACACTTGAAGTGTCTTAACAAGACGTATTGCGACCAATCAGAAATTTCTTCAAGTGTCTTGTCTAAACGCATGAACCGTCTTGTTTGTACACTTCATGTGTCTTGATATTTTAGAGTGTCAAAAGATCGCGTTGACCTTGTACTGTTTCACACTAATTTTTTACTATGATCTCTTGGTTTGATGTGAAACTATTGAAAGAAGTGGAAATAATATATTTTCATATTCGGAAGTAACACATTCTAAGTGATCTACGTGGATTTAAATAATGCACTGGAAATAGCCGTAATAGTATTTTTCAGAATATTTCAACTAGTGACACGAAAAGTCTCACTGTCTAAAAAAAACGATACGAATTGCTGTATAACATTCTTTTATCAAATATACTATACATGCGAATATTTTGGGGGAGTTGCATACGCCATTTCAAGAAAGAGCAACCCCATAGATAATTGCCTTATTAGAGAAAATGAGAATTCATTGGAAAGCAAATTTCAGTGGGCAAAGTTTCGAGTTGGCTAAATACGCGAGGAGTTCTTCATTTAATTACACGCGAATGTTGGCCTAAGGTGCTCAATAGCTTTCGCCA